TGAGAGCTCGCCTTGAGCGAATCCTGTACGGAAGCCCTGCCCCGATCCACAAAAAATGATCCGGAACCCTGTGACCCTCGGCCCGAAAGCCTAAACGCTCAACCTCAGGCAACGATGGCAAGATTGGCAAGGCTCGGGGTTGGGGGTCGACTGGGTTTGGGAGTTCGGGTTTAGTGTGTCACCCACGTGTGAACGGAAAGCAAGCTGCGCAGCCTACGCGAACATGGAAAGCAAGGTGCAACAATAGCCTGGTCAAAAAACGCCCAGCCCAGCCCAGAAGAAGGCAAGGTGCAAAGGGTAGACCCGCTCAAAACGTGTCGCTCAAAACTCTTCGGCACCTTCTCGACAATCCCAGGCCCACACCCAGCCCAGGCCCTCAGGGTGCGAAAGGAAAATCAAGTCGAAACTTTCGCTCAAGACTTATTGGCGTCCAAACCCTTAATAATCTTTAGACCCTAAACCCTAAAAGCTCTCCCCATCCCGAGGGTATTCCGTGCCGCAGCAATGCAGAGCAGAAAAGGGCAGAAACAAGAACAAAGCCGTTGTTTAAGGTTCTAAGTCTTCCGGGTTGTAGCGTTTCAGTTGGTGCCATCGGGCCGGGCAATATTCATCTGCGGTTGCTTTTTGGATTTCTACCTGTAGGTTTTTGGTCGAAGGGGCTTCTCAGGCCTTCCGTGTAGGTGGACAACGGGATTTAGGGCCAGGGAGGTTTAGGGCTAGGAGTTCGTTTTATGGCTCGTTGTTTCGGGGTCGTTTTGGCTATGACAAAGGGGAGATTAAGAAACGACAGGCACTAGTCGTTGCGATTCAAGCTCCTATATATATATATACACATGTGTGTATATATATATGTAATCAATGTTGGTGCCTAGGGCCAGCTGCACCGGGGATTTTAGATTTAGAGTGCAGAGGTGGGGCCGGTTTTGCCAATGTACTTAACATGAACTTCGCTCGGACCCTGCATGAACTCAAGAAGCAATGCTGAAGCCTTCAGCCCTAACCCTCTCTTTAAGCTCAACCAAACAGCCGCTAAATTCGAGGACGAGTTCGTCCATCCAAACCTGACATACCCCTTAAGTACCTAAGCCCAGTAGAAACCGGTTATATAATTTCACCCTAAACTCCGAACCCCAAGCCCTAATCCCTGAGCCCTTTGCCCTACACCCGCAGCCTTAAACCCTAAACTCCAAGCCCTAAGCCCTGCAAAGGACGAGTTCGTGAACTTCGGCCACGCTGCACTTTTGGACGCTCTCCAGCTCTGAGCCCCTTTGCAGCGGTGTAGAGTTTGGGGCGTAGTATAGGAGCCTAAAGAATTACCAATTTTTCCGTTTTTGTTGTAGTTGGGGGGGGGGGGTCCTTATTGTAGTTTATTGCATACGAGAATTACCCCAAAGCCCTCTTCTAATTATTTTGGCCCCGTAATATAGAACCCTATCATAGACCCCTCATAGAACCCTTTAGAGGAACCCTATTCTAATTATTAAAGGCCCCTTATAGTGTTTAGTGAAGGTCCGGGCCAGTGTGTGGGTTTCGGGATTTAAAAGGCTTGGGGCTCAGAAAGTTGTGGATTTATACGCTTTTGGGCTGAGAGATTTGTGTTTATAGTGTTTCGGAATTTGAACTGAATGTGTGGTGTTGAGGATTGATCACGAACATATGGATGGTTTTCCAAATCAGGGTCCCTCTGCAACATCATGCATCACTCTCATAATCACCGCCTTTACAGGGGTTGGGGCTGCAAGGTTTCAGGCTTGAGGTCAGGAATCTAAGCTCCTAGACCTCAAATCCTACGCCTCCTAAGCTTACTCAGCCCGAAACTCCTAAACCCCGATAAAGATCTTAAGCCCTAAACCCTAAACCCTAAACCTAAAGATCTTGAGGCCCGAGCCCTGAGCCCGAACCGAGGCCGCTTCCGCCGAACGGCGCGGGTTGGACTGAGCCGGCTGCGACTGACAGAGACTCCAAAACCTTTTAAGTAAGGAGACCTAAACCCCAAACCCTAAACCCTAAACCCTATGATCTGAAGGATCGCTACATGGGAGGGGTGTATTCTTTCATGAAGGGGTCTTGGAGTCTCTCTGAGTAGGATTGTAGGGGTTTTTTCTGATCCCTTAGTGGCGACCGTCCGGTCCGAGGCATGTTTTGTACCATTTTAAGAGCCCTGGTAGTAAGGGTTTAGGGTTTAGGATTTAGGGTTTAGGGATGCTTGCCTTCTCATGGCGTAAGGCATTGGGGTCGACTGTTCTCCGAGGTTCCTGGCTAAGGCTGGCAGCTGAAGTCCCGAAATCGGTTGGGGTTTAGGGTTTAGGCACTCATTCTTAATCTCGGAGTCGCATCCATCCCTCTTCTCACATGAGGGCTGCAGACAGAAGCGAGGGACCCTAGTATCGAGCCTTTGAGAATGGGATCCTCACTCTACGGACCATTGAGGACCCACGGGCCGCAAACCGTCAACCCTGTCGCCCTGTCACCCCCACATGCAAAGCTTGGACTGTCGGAGGACGATAATTCGGCGCTTGCATGCTTCTGCCATTAAGACCCAGAACATAAGGAATCGACTTCAAGTTTTCAAGCAAGGAGTACCCCTAAACCCGAAACCCTGGCCCTATCTTCACTAGCAAAACAGGACATATGAGCTGCTGAGTGCATGGACGACGCATGTTTGCGCAGGCCCTGGGTCGAAAATTTTCTTAAGTAAGATCTAGGTTTTAGGGTTTAAGGTTAAGGAACTAGGGATGAAACTAGCATGGTCGTAACTGGTATACTTACGTGATAAAAATGATGAAGCTGTATTTTAACCCGACGGGGATCTTGATGATTATAGCTTGTCTATCATTTTAATTAGAAAAGCTTCGAGCGCCCTTGTGAGGCTTTCAATTTTTGTTGCAGATTTCTTTTGTAATTTGTTTGATCACTCGCACGAGTGTAGGTTAAGCAGGGCATTCATCTTGCTGATCTGGCTTGGGGTGCTTCCTTTATCGGGGCATGAAGAGACATATTTAAAATTGGCATCTAACCCACAAGACGGATCCTTGCTGAAAGAAGAATCTTGAGAGAATAAAATAGAATAACAAATCATAAAAAATCAAACTCAAAAATATAATAATGATAATGATAATATAAAAAATATTTATGTAGGTAGTATTACTTGATTCTTAATCTTGAGATTATGGAAGGAAGGTTTGGTTATTGAGCTGATATTGGAGAGATATATCTGTAGGTAGGCTTTGATATAATTTCTATGCCTGTAGGAGTCTTATGGAATATATTATAAATAGGTTATTGTTCGGCTAGAAAAGAATAAATTAAGATATATATATATATAATTATTGGCAGGAATTTAAAAAGATATTTTTGAATAGAAATAATATATATTTAAATCGAGGTTTTTAATTCTATATATAGAAATCGAGAAATTTATTTGATATCGGATTTATATAAATAAAGATTTTTTTCGGGAACTAAATATAGGGAATAGATTAATTGTAAATAGAAATATTTTTATTTTTATTATGAGAAATGGAAAAAAATTGAAAGATATTATTATCGTTATTATTTCGTATTTCTCTATTATTCGAGGAGATTTTTAAATTTCTTTGGTCATTTGAATATTTAAGAAGAAATAAAAAGACTCTTTATTAATATTTAGATTTTATCTTGATTTATGATTTTGTTACTTATTTCTTAATGGTTGGCCGAAATATTGATAATATGATATCTGGCGCGAATAGAAAAATAATGAAATCGTCGGAGCATACTTTACAAATAATATCGTTCTTGTCATTTATTAAAGTAATAAGAAGCTAACCCTTAGAAAAATTTGGATTAATGCAAATTTCTATTTAGCCGCTTATATTGATCGATTTTGCAAATATATATTATCTAGCTGGGATAAGATAAAAGAGGTCTTAAGAATAATTACAATCATAATAAGATTCAGAATAAATTGCAGCTCTACGAATAATTAATTGAAGTTCTCTCTTTGAATTCGTATAATTTAAAATATATTTTTTCTCGTCTTTAAGATGAAATAATACGCCTTTTTTTAAGTCAGAGAGAAAAATAATAATAATAAAGATGGTCAGAAGAGAGCGAAAGACTCCCAAACCTAATATTAGAAATGATTCTTTGTCTTAAATAAATAATCTCGTGTCTTGAAAAAAAGGCGAATCCATAGATTTTTGAGTCTTTAGACTATAAGAATTTATCTTTATTATTTATCGCCTAATATTAAGAACCTCAAAGAAGTTCTGGGATCCGGTGTGGTCGGGAACAACGTTAAATTACGCCAAAACCGATCACGTCAGACCCCTATAATAGAAATAAAAAATACGACAATCTATAATATTATTAATTAAACTCTTTTTTCTTTCAGGGTCTTTTAATATAATTCATTTATAATTATTTCAGCATTTAAAAATATATTTCGATATAATAAAGAGAGAGGGGAGAGAGTAGCTAGCGTCCTCTTATAATATACGACGGCCTATCTATAATTCAATAAATATAATTAATCGACAAAATCTACGAACGGTCAAAGTATTCTATTTTATCAATATGTTGCCACCTTCTCATAATCAATAAATATTTAAGACCAACATAGAGAAATCCAAAATATTCTCTTAATCTATTATATATAGATTATAAAAAATACAATCAATATCTTTACTTTTTTCTTGTTATTGAATTTATCAATAGTATTCAATAATCAGTGTAATTTAAAAGAAATAAAATTTTCAATAAATCATTTAAAATATAGATATATCTGTAGAGGTTTTACAATATTTATTCTCGGCTCTGGATCTCTCTTCAAATTTCTTATTCGTGGGAAACCGTCCATGCTTTTTATATCTCTAGGTTTTGTCATACGTTTGCTTGGTAATGCGTTCGCTCGAATTCGGAAGTGTGTTGGGGCACATTCCAAAGCCTCGGCGGCTTTGGCCGGACTTCTATTCATGAGTTAAAGCATGATTTAGCAAAGTATAGGATCTAAGGTTTCATTAGTCGCTTTTGCTGTCTGAATCTCCGTCCTCATCATCCGTCAGCAGCTTCTTGTTGTAAATGAACCAGTAAAGTCCACTGTCAGTCTTGCCACTCGATTCCCCACAGCAGATCCCGAGCTTGTTTGGCAGAAAACACAGGGCTAGCCTCTCACACATGTGACGGTAGGCACAGGTCGCACGATAGTGGTTGTAGAGCTGTCGAGATCGCTTCTCTGCTTGTTGGTAAAGCTCTCCCAATAGCCCAATGTAAACATTCATGACAACGACTGTGATCACCATGCTCAGGATCAGGAATTGGTATCGGACCTTAGTCGGCGACTCTGCATCGATTTGAACAGGGTTTCTGTCGCCTGCTCTCACGGCCTGCCAAGCAAAATGTGCGAACTACAGCAAGATGCTGCTCTGTGGTACTGGTCAGTCCAATCCGATGAGTCCACGTCCACACTCCCAGAAATCTCCGAGCTAGTCCGGTTCAGTTTCGTCAGCTGCGCTGTAACCGTGTCATCCAAGCCTCGTGGGCAGCATCTGGGTGCACGGTCTTCGAGGGTGAGGATCCGCAGATGAAGTGTTTGCTTGAAGCAACAACTAAGGCAAAATCTAGCTAATCGGCGACACTCCAAAAGTGCCAGGTTGCATGCGATGACCGATAAGTAGTGTACAGCAGTTGGTACGGAGCAGTGCCCACGAAAAAAACACATACACGTGGCACCATGCAATGGTCATAGCAAGGGCAACTGGACAAGTAAAATTCTTTTGCCCGCGACACTGCTTTGTTGCACTGCTGCAAAAGAAATGATATCAGCATTGATGTAGCAGTTGTCACCGTCGTCGTCGCGGGCCCACATCGCAAGCGCGTAGCAGTAGCACTGCAGTAGTAGTAGTAGTAGTAGTAGTAGTAGTAGTAGTAGTAGTTACTAGTAGTCGTAGTGGTGGCAGTGGTGCTGGTGGTGGTAGTGGTGGTAGGTGGTTGTTGTGGTAGTAGCAGCAGCAGTCGTCGTAGTGGTGGTAGTGGTAGTGGTGGTAGTAGTAGTAGTAGTAGTAGTCGTAGTAGTAGTAGTAGTAGTAGGAGGAGTAGTAGTAGGAGGAGCAGAAGTAGCAGTAGCAGTAGCAGTAGCAGGAGCAGCAGCAGCAGCAGCAGCAGCAACAGCAGCAGCAACAGTAGCAGTAGCAGCAGCAGTCATCGTCGTCGTNNTCGTCGTCGTAGTCGTAGTCGTAGCAACAGCAGCTGCAGTGGTGAACCCCAAACCTGTCGTAACATCGCAGAGCATTTAGGCCCTCAGCCCCGAAACTCCATTGCCGGTATCGTAACAGTGCTAGTAACAGTCATGATAAGACTCATAATAACACAAGTACTAGCAAGATCAACTATAATGCTAGTAATATTCTGCCTTCCAGCTCAGCCAGGTCGAAGTNNCCAAGGACGGTAAGCCGGAAGACTTTGAGGAAGGTGTTGAAGACATGGTTGTCGAGCCAATGCGCCTTCGGCGGTCGGGTTGAGAGGTCCGGGGGTCTTTCGCTGAAACCGAAACCCTAAGCCACCCTAAAAGCGTAAACCGTAAACCGCGGATCTCTGCTCAAAGGATCCGAGTTAAGAGTTGAAGACGGACATAGGGGTTTAGGGTCTCGAGTCTCGCTGTCGCACCTTGTCCCCAACGTTCTCCTCAATCGGAAAGACATAATAGGCATGAAATGCAGCAGAGATCATGAAGCCGAGGAAGAATAAGAAGAACCTGAGTTGGTGAAACAGTGATGGTGACAACCCCAAACACCTCCACTGAACGTGTCAATCTCTCAACAT